GTGGTACTACCTCGCGGCCACGATCGTGCTCTGCGGCCTCGGCATCTTTGTGCAGTTCCGAGAGCTGACGCAGCACAAGCGGCGCGAGGCCCAGCAGGCGACGTACGCGATCCCCGAGACGCCCAAGCACGGCGACCCGATCCGCCACGTCTAAGACGACATTATCATCTATTATTGTCAACAACTATTCCATCAATAAGTAATAACGACTATTTCTTCGAACTGATAGATTGGAAGCCTTTTTGCTTTTGGTGCAAGCGCTGGTTGTCGACGTTGTGCTCTGCTATAGTACTAGTTTACCGAATGCGATGCCTCGATGCGGCATGGTTACATCGACGTGCCTGAGGGTTCACGACGGGGTCTTCGTCTCAAACCGAAGGATTGTGTATACCTGAATGGTAGCCTTCTACCGCAAGCTACCAGTATGTAGTATGTAGTATGACCTTGTGCGAGTAGAAAGCAAAGCAACGGGGCTGGCGACACGTTACCTTGCAGCTTGGCCCATGACGACGTTGTCGTCGCACAATCATCAGCCATTTTGCAACACAGAACCGGCATCGGGGGCCAGCCAGTCCTTCGATGGCTTCGCACGGCGCGTTCGCGACCGCCGACTAAAACCTGGTTCATGGCAATGCTACGAACAACCGCCGGTCTCGATCAAGGGCCGGCACGAGATCCTACAACCGAGCCCGGGCCGTCCCAATGGCGCATGAGTTTTGCCGGGCAGGGGCAGCTGCTGGCTACTGCGACTGTCACTACTACATTCTACCGCGCCACGTCAACTTCATGGACTGCATCGTGCTGCGGGCCGCACCCGGCTCTACTTCCTTGGCGACGACGCCCAAGGCTGCCCCGTCTGCGGCGCTCCCGAGACGTACGACCATCGTCTGCTCCGCTGCGAATTTGTCACCGCGGTCTGGGCCGTCTTTCGGCCGCTCGTCGACGCGCTGGAGCTGGAATTCGCCTCGACGCTATTTGCGCTTTTGCTTGAACCGCTGGAGACGGCCCAACGCTATCGACGGCGCGCGGTCGCCATGGTGTAGCCGATTCGACGCGCTTGCGTGCTCCACACCGCCTGGCTCGCCCGCAACGACCGAGTCTTCCGTCCCGAGGCACGCGTCGTGACACCCGAAGCGACCGCGTTCTTGACCAAGCCGCACCTTTCATACTTGCTGCTGAATACCCAAGCGCTGTGTCTCTTCCAAATGATGAACGTCGTGCGCCACGACGCCTGGCTTCGCGACCACCTCGTTCGCCATCCATACGCCTCGCCTTCGCGACGGCTTAGCCTCGCTGCTGCCGTCGGTCACAACACGCTATGAGTCGAAAGTCCCCGTTCCAAAACAGTCCAGTGTAAATTGTATCGCAATCGACTCACTTCAACAACAACAGAGCCCACATCGTCGAGTCTGCCCTTGTCCACTCATCGACCATCCAGCGTTGACAAGCAACAGTCGGCGCTTCTGCATCTGTGGGACCTCCACGCTGCGTTCGACCACTCTGCATGGCGCACGGAAAGCACATGTCTGGAATTCATTTTCCAACGATCACGATCATCGACGGTCTCAGGTTGCCGGCCTCCTCGACGACGCACGAATAGCATCACCGGTGCTTCTTCACACTAGATCCCACTTGTACGCAAGTGTCGAGCTAGTTTACTAGCCCCATGCGCCGTGGACGTGCCTGCTTGCTACGAAGATGTGTTTCCTCGAGGTGTCTGGATCGTCCGGTATCGAAGCAATGCCGACCATCTGCTTCGTCATGTATAACATTATATGGATGTTTGTATGTAATATAATACAATTTCATGCTCCGCGCGCGTTCTCACGCCCCGCGCACATTTTGCGGTGCCATCCGGACGTTCCATCGTCCACACAGCCAGAATACGTGCCACGCGTGCCGACTCGACGAAAGATGTATTGTGATACGCACAGGAGCCAGCGCAGACGCTGCAGTTTGCCTTTTACCCGTCTGCGCACACTTGTCATGGCGGCTCTTCTTGTTGTCCTCTGCGCGCTCGTCGCTGGTGTCGCGGCCCAGCTCTCGGTCCCCGGCAACAGCACGTTTGACGCCCAAATCAACCAAATTCTGCACTGGGACGGTCTTCACAAGTCCAATCTCGGCCTCGCACCCAATGCGATCGCCGCCGCCGCCATGGCCATTGGCATCGTCATCACGTTCTATGGCTTCAAGCTGCTTCGGCCGGTCATCTTTGTCGCGGGTTTTCTCGTCGGCGCCGTTGCTGGCTTCATTGGCGCCGAGATGCTGTTTCAA